TTGTTAATTTCATTCAGTTTGGAACAACAATCGCTCAGTATTATATTTAAACATTGCATATAGAATACGTCCAAGATTTTCAAATATTTTATTTGATTCTGTCTGTTCCCACGACCCGACAATCTTAGCTCAGTATATCATACATTAATTAAATGAAATAAACATAGAATATTAACTAACACCCGGTATATATTGAAGAATTTTGCAAACCAAAAATAATATTCTTAGAATGCAAAGAAAAATACCTGAAAGTAAAAGAAATCAATATAAACAGTATTTTGCTTTGTGTGCAAAATGGACAAAATTAATACTCCAAATATATGACAAGGCTTAAAGTAGCAACAACGCTACACATGTAAGTAAAAATAATTGAGTATCTGAACAAAGAATTCTAGTCTCTTACCAGAATTGATTGTCCTGACTAATCACCTGTTAGGCCTAATTAATCTTAGAATGTTTTAAAGTGTTGCAATTGTGATGTATTTTAGTGTGTGATATGATAAAGCTGTTGACGAACTGTGATTGTTTTTTAAATTAATTAATTTTTTTTACTATTTGTTATTTTAGAGAAACTGATGATGGTGGAAAACACCGAAACGTATTTTAATTGATAAATGACTGAAGCCCAGGAATTGATTTTGATTTGGAATTGAAGACAATGACAATAAGGGGGATGAAGTGTCTAGTGTTGCAGAACAATATGCAAGGAAGAATGCTGCCAGACATCCAGCCGGGGATAAAGAGAGGAGAAATGCTGGTACCTGGACGATGATGCTGTAGGTGGCAAACTTGGAGAGACTTTGCAAAATAGCTTCGCCTCCATAGTGGTGCCGCACCTCCACGCTCTTGAACACGTAACTTTGCGACAGGCTGCTGCTCTCCGCGCTCAGCTCCTGGTAGCCCACGTGGTATCCCAATAGGTTCCCATTCCAGGATTCCCTAGGCGGTGGCTCCCAAGTCACCACCAGCTCTGTGGAGGTTTTGGCTTCCGCCCGGATATCCACTGGGGCGCCACTAGGAACTGATAGTCAAACAGTAGCCTTACGTCGCTGCCACGTTCTCTTCTGACTCACGCACCTTCTTCCAGAGTGTTCACCTGGACGATCTGGCTGGGCTCGCTCAATCCCAGGCGATTTTCCGCCAGGATCCGCAAGTGGTAGACCTGGGCGGGGCGCAGATTGGGCAAAATGGCAGTGGTGTGCGTCCCTGGCACCGTTATCTTGGCGGGAGGATTGGGCCACGCCTCTGGAACAGCCTAGGCTAGACTCGACCGCCTGCTACCAGCTAAAACTGGCACCTACCAGCTCCCGGCTTGTACTGGATGATGTAGCTGCTCACGGGGCTGTTGCCCGCATAGGGGTACGTCCAGGAAATGCCGATGGATCGGGACTGTTGCTCAGTGACGCGCACATTGCGCGGCGCCTCTGGAATTTCCTGGACTATGAGCTGGATGCTCATGTCGTCGCTCCCGTAGGAATTGCCGGCCGAGCAGATGAAGACTCCGGTGTCCTGCCGAATTGTTCGCTCGATACCTGCAAAAGTCCAGCCAGTATGGGCGAATTTCCTGCGGCTTTCTCATCCGGAACTCACCCAACTCGGACACCACGTGGTCTGCAAGGATTTGTTCCCGGATCGAGTAGCGGCTGTCGTCTGGAATAACATCAAACAAGAAAATCGTATTATTTTTATCAAAGACAGAGAAACGCCACCTGAGGAAAAACCCGTTACTACTAGGCATTAATGCTGTTTTACCTTCTTTTGTTATATACTGGCCGGCCACTTTCCAAGTGAACTGCATCGGAGTGTCGCCATTGGCGGAGCATTGAAGATTGGCTCGCTCCCCTTTCACCACCTGCACTTGCTTGGTTTTTTGCGCAAAATGAGCTGGAGCTGAAAAGTGCGCACACATTAATTAATTCCTCCACTCTCCCTCAAAATGGGGAAAAAAAATCAAATAAACCAGAGTGTTGCGTTGTTTATGGCCATCCGGTCAAGCCATCTGGATAATCCGTCTTTTCGATATTTATGGCGCCCGAAGAACGAGCCGAGATACTTTCAGCCTGCTGGCATTAATATCAACACTGGATTTAGCGGGATGTATGCTTTCCTTAGGAGCGTGTTTTTTCAGACCTTGCTAAACCTTGAGAGAATTAGGATTTTCTCAGGGAAATTCAGCCGGCGATTGGCCAAAAATGCTTCTCGTTTTGGGATCGTAAAGTGGCCGCAACAGGGACAAATTGATGTCAATAAAACGGGGCGACAGTATTGTGTCTCATTCAAAATGAGGTTTTTATTAAATTCGATCGGGGAAAAGGCCAAAGAAGCCGAATAAAGGTTATTCTTTATAGCAAAACGAGTGCAAATAAATCACCTCAATGATCATGAAAGTCACTCAGCGTCTTATTGGTTAGACGGTTTGCTCGAATTTTCTTTTAGTGCTTTGGAATACATTTTTTATTTTGGGAAGTCCACAGGGAACAATCCGAAAAATCTCTTATTACTTGATGATTTTAGTGTGCTCCTGGGCTATTAAGGAGTGGCCTGTCTAGCGACAAAATTTTCAAAAGTGTTTTTAAAATGCACCTTTTAAAAAGTCCAGGGTCTTCATAAACCGTTTGCTCCTGGGCTATAATGGGAGGGTCAAATTGCAGAAGTGTCTTAAAGGCACTTGAAGCCCATTAAATTTTCTTTCAAATACAAGTTCTATGTTTTAATTCGATGAAAAACCAACTGCGACGCAACCTGCAAAGCAATTTTGATCAGACTAAGATGGCAAAAATGTCTTAAGAGCATTTGAAGCCCATAAATTTTTTTATTTGGAGAAGAGACAAGGGCGCAATTTGCACCGCAACTTTCATTAAACTAAGTCCAATTTTTTAACCCCATTAACTTGCTCTTTTTCCATTTGCAAATTGCAAGAAACTGAAAACTCACCATTAACTCGAAGAAAAATCACCTTGCTGACGCCGGCACCGATGTTATTTTTCGCCTCGCACAGATACTGAGCCTCATTCTCCTTGGAGACGTGCGTAAAACTGAGCGATCCGTTCTGATACTGTTCCACATTGGGCTCATAGTGAAAGTCCTTGTACTCTCCAGGCTGCTCACCTGCAAACCAGAAAGCTGGGATTAGATTGGGGCTAATTGGCGCAGTCGGTAGGCTTTTTAGCAGCCCATTAACCAATAGAAACCGGTTGGTTTCGCTCAAATACAGTTATTGATCGGGGGCTCTTACAACGCGTTCTCCGGCTCGGCTTCTTAAACTTTTTCCACCACTCAAAACGATCGCTATTGTGTCAATTGCAGATAAAGTTCGCCCGGCAGGAGGCTGATTCACTTTGATCGGAATAGAGCGAGTTGCATCATTTTCAGCTCACGGACACGAGGAATGCATTGAATTTCATATCCGAAATAATAGACATTTTCTACAAATTTTAAGCGTTTTTTGAGAGATCACGATTTTTTTGCCGACGATTTTTTCCTTATTATTGACCCAAACACTTTATAAACGCATGTTTCTGACCTTCTCACGTCGAAAGGAGTCGACGAAATTTTTCTAAGGGTTGACGTCGATTTTTTGGAAAAATCGAAATTTTCCCAAAATGCCTTCAATTTTCATCATTTTCAGCTCACGGACACGGGGAGTGCATCGAACTAATTGAAAAACATGCTAAAAGTTTCACATCCGAAATAATAGATATTGTCTGCACATTTTAAGCGTTTTTTGAGAGATCACGATTTTCAGCCGACGATTTTTTCCTTATTATTGACCCAAACACTTTATAAATGCATATTTCTAACCTTCTCACGTCTAAAGGAGAGGATTGAGCTCAAAAAACACGAATGTGAAATTTTGATTTTTGACCGAAATTTTTTCAAGGGTTGTGGTCGATTTAAAAAAAAAATGAAAATTTTCCCAAAATGCCTTCAATTTTGCATCATTGTCAGCTCACGGACACGGGAAATGCATCGAACTAATTGAAAAAAATGTTAGAAGATTCAGATCCGAAATAATAGTAATTTTCGGCACATTTTAAGCGTTTTTTGAGAGTTCACAATTTTTAGCCGACGCTTTTTTCCTTATTATTGACTCAAACACTTTATAAACGCATGTTTCTGACCTCACGTCGAAAGGAGTCGATTGAGCGCAAAAAACACGCATGTAAAATTGTGATTTTTGGCCGAAATTTTTCGAAGGGTTGGAGTCGATTTTTTGAAAAAATGAAAATTATCCCAAAATGCCTTCAATTTTCATAATTTTCAACTCACGGACACGAGGAATGCATTGAACTTATTGAAAAACATGCTAGAAATTTCATATCCGAAATAATAGACATTTTTTGCACATTTTAAGCGTTTTTTGAGAGTTCACGATTTTTGGCCGACGATTTTTTCTTTATTATTTACCTAAACACTTTATAAATGCATATTTATGACCTCCTCAAGTCGAAAAGACTCGATTGAGCACAAAAAACACGCATGTGAAATTGCGACTTTTGACCGAAATTTTTCCAAAGGTGGGAGTCGATTTTTTGAAAAAATTAAAATTTTCTCAAAATGCCTTAAATGTTGCATAATTTTCAGCACACGGACACGAGGAATGCATCGTACTAATTGAAAAACATTTTTAAAGTTTTAGATCCGAAATAAAAGACATTTTCTGCACATTTCAAGCGTTTTTTGAGAGTTCTCTGGAACTCAATACGGCTAGAGATGAGGAAAACGTTCATTTTTTATGTTTGGCTGATTCTTTAGCAGTGCGCCAATTGATTAATTGATTGCTTTTTCGTTTAGTTTCTGAAAAACTAATTTCGCAAGTCAAAAAAAAAATGTTAAAAGTCCGGGAATTAATTCGGAATAAACTTTTTAATTGGTCTAACCCGAATTGGCTCAACAGTGAAAGTAAGGCTTCCTTTACAGGCTCCTAAAAGGCGTCTGGTTGTTGAAATCTCTAGTGTACAAATGGCGGGTGGCAAAAACTGCTCAAACTTGTTGATTTTATTGCGAAGACTTTCCGTATCTTCCTCAAATTCGCCTTGAACTGAACGCAAGAAGTTGTTTTCAAGTCTAGTTAGTGAAAAAATGGCCTTTGGAAGCCTCTAGTTCCGAAATGGAACATCGTCAATAACTGCACAAAGTGGCCGGTTAAGTTGCGAAAAACCACCTTAATGGATCGCGTAAACACATTACCAGCATGCAAAGAGTAAGTTTCAAATTTCACTTACCAACAGCTTTTTTCCAAGTGATCACCGGCTTCGGATAGCCATCAGCTTGGCAGTGAATGATGGCTTCTCGACCAGCGGCTACACTTGCGTCCGATGGCTCCGTTGTCCATCTGGGCGGCACTGAAACAATCGTTAGCGCAAAAAATAATCCAACATATTATGCAAAGTGTGAGCCAACATTGGCACAATACTATCTATCGACCAGTTAGAGTAAGTTTAAGCATTAAAAGCTGATGGGCCTGACAGCTCCAAAATCAACTGGAAGAACCAAAGAAATTAAACTTAATCAATACAGCTTGTCTGTGTTAACTCTTTGCAAAAGCCTGCAAAGGCTTTTAGCTGTTAATTTCCTGCAGCTTAGCGAGGGGAACGTTTTTTTGGCTGACGTCGAGCTGCCAACTCAATTTGTCTCCACTTTTCATGGAACAGATTTAGAGTGGCGCAAAAAAGTTGTAGCTTTTATTGCTCGATTTTTCAATGCCATGCTCTTACTGAAACCGAACGGTTTCGGATTTATCTAGACCACCATCAGGTTTGCTAATTTATGTAAGTGAGTAAGATTCAGGAATATTCAGTTTCACCAAATCGATCGTCTCAAGTAAACGTGCACTTTTCCAATTGGGGAATTTCCAAACTGAGGCGCTCAAGCCGGAAAGTAATTCTATCTTTTATTATTGGCAAACCATCCCAGATGCCAAACTCACGAATTCAATTTATTTGAGGCGCGGAGGAAACTTTAGCTGATAGATGTCGAATATTTAAAGCTTCCCGTGTATAGAAGCGATGAAAGGAACGCTTAACCGTGCGCAAACAAGAGGCTTTAGACGACCTTAGCTTTCTTCTAGTAGGAGAAACTCACTTACCGTTTACCGTTAGGGGAACCACGTATTTTTCATGACCAGCTACGTTGCTGGCTATGCAGGTGTAGTTTCCACTATGCTGAGAGCTGACCAAGTCGATGATCAGCGACGAGGAAAACTCATCAATGCGTCTAATCGCCGTGCCCAAAGCGGCATTGTTGATGATGGGCTGAAACCAACAGTTGGTGCCACTCGCCCGAAAATCCCGATATGCAAATGCTTACCTTTCCATTCCGTTCCCATCGAAACGTAATTGGTAAGTCGCCGTCTATAATTTGGCACGTGATCGCTGCCCTCATCCCTTCTCGCAACAGGTCAGTCATGGGGTTGATTGGCAGGATTTTCGGTGGCACTGCAAATGCCAAAAACCCCATTTATTTCACTCTGATTCTAAGCGTGTGCTGCCCTGTGATTGAAACTGGCACTCGAAAGTAAAATAAATCCAGTGCTTCATTCGCTCCTCTTAAAGCTGATCGATTTTGAGGCGTCTGGATAAGTGGAGGATATAAGTGACGTGTCACACAATGCCAGGCTCGCAGAAGAATTCCCGGCAATTGATTGGTTTGATAAAGCAGTTTGAAAAATTTGAGTGCACAGTCAAAACTCGCCGGGCTCAAATAACTGTGTTTCCTTCTTCAGATGCAACAACGGGTACATTTCAACTTTGTCTAGATGTCCAGAAATTAATTTTTGAACGGAACGCTGCAGGAATCTGCTCGCAAATAGTGGACAATGCTTGCAAAGGTGTTTAAAAGCGTATGAAGATGGAGAAAAACCTTATCTCTCTGTTAGACTTGGGCTGAATGCAGATAAACTGACTACAAATTAACCGGAGAACTTTGAAAATTTGTCGCAAAGCCTCTGATGATGGTGACAAATCGAAGCTTTCAGCGCTTAAACAATGGACTTTCTGCTATAAAAGCCAAAAACGAGCAAATGGACATTTTAGCCAGATCTCCAGATATTAATTTTGTGCTAGCAGACTGGAAACATCTGCTAGCAAAAATCGAAAAGGTTTGAAAATACATCGCAAAGTACGCCTGGATAACAGTGTTGAGTTGCGCTTTTGAGTTGTTGCCGCTCTCTGAGTTAATGAGTTTTAACTCATTGCTTAATGAGTTAAATTTTCAATGAATCTGAAGTTAGAAAAATTTCAGAGCGATGAGGGTGACGAGTTTTCCAAATATTGATTGCTCTTGCTTTCTCTGGTCGTTTTTTAAGAAAGCCTAAATTTTGACGAGAAAAAAACAAGATAACTTTGTTTCGATTTTGTCCCAAATTCAAAGGTAAAATGGGTATTCGAAAAAGACGTTAAAGAAGACCAAACTGTAAAGACGACTTTTCTTGTAAATCCATCTTATAACTTTTTTGCATAGTTAGCTACATTAGCAGTTTGCCAGTATTGTTCAGTAAAACGTTAGGAAAAAACGCGTTGTTCTGTTTAGAAATGTTGGCTTAAAAGTGAAGAAACCGGCATTTAAATAAACCAAATTATTCACAGCGACAAAAGTGACGAGTTTTTCGAATTACTGATTCTAAACTTTCACTTGTCCTGCTCGGGGAAATATTTTTGGGAAAAAATCCAGAAAAAATTATTAGAGATTTGTCCAAAATTTGAAGTTGCAAAAGGTTCCAGGAAAAATTTGCAAAGCTGTTCAGGAGCCAAGTTTTCCAATAAAATGTATTTTATAATTTTCACAGAAAACACCTGAAGATTGTCAGTATTTTAAGTAAAAGTTATGTTTTTTTGCGTAGAAATAATTGCTTAATAGAAACTTTTCTAAAACTGGAATGACCTTACATTTTAAAGAACCGTGAAAACTCTTCAGAGCGATGAGGCTGACGAATTTCCTAAATATTTTTTTGAAAACTTTTTTTCATCATAATCTTAATTACTTTCGGTAAAAACTGAATAAAATTATTTGGTTTTTGTGCCAAGTTCGAGGCTGAAAAGGGTTTTCTAAAATTCCCTGCAAACCGATGAATGAGGCGAATTTTCTAGCAAAATTAATGTTGTCATGTTTGGCTGAAAAGACCCATTATTGTCAGAAAAGAAGAATATCATCAGAAACTAATGTTTTTTGCCTTTTTTATTAAAAACTTTTAGTTTTGTAATCGGTTTTTGAGAAAATCTTAATGATTTTTGGCAAGAAACAAGATAAATTTATGTTCGTTTTTGTCCCGAATGCGATGCTGAAAAAAGTTTTTGTAAAATTCCTACAAAGCTATAAATTTATCTTGTGACTTTTCGACTAAAAGACCTCCAGATCGTCAGTATTTTTAAGTGAAACTCTACAAAATAGAGCGTTTTTGAGTAGAAAGTAAAGCAAAAAAATCAGTCAAAACTAAAAAAAAACACATCTTTTTAAAAAACTCCACAGTCTTCAGAGGAATGGATGTGGCGAGATTTTCAAACAAATAATCTGTTATAAACTTTGGCTTATTGTGTTCGTTTTTTGATAGAAAATGATTTTATTTTTGTCCCAAATTCGAATCTGGAAAGGGAGTTCAATACTTTTTACAAAGCGACAAAGGAGGCGAGTGTTCAAATAAAATGTATTTAATAGTTTTTTGCGAAAAATACCTTAAGATTGTCAGTATTTTTAAGTCTGATCTATTTTCCTGACTGCGTGTACTTGTTATGATATTCCTATCTTTCCTGGGTTTCAGTCAAAGTGTGAAGTAAAAATTTCGGAAACATCGTTTATTTCATTACGTTTCAGCGAGACAACAGCGCCTATTTATAAAATTTGCTTATTTTTTCAGCAGTTTCTTTCAACTTTCTGTTTAATGGGCACTTTCTCTGCGTCTACAGAACCTGTCATTGTTGAACTTGTTGCCTTATATATTAGAACGTCGTTTGTATGAATGCAGAAAGTTTCGTTTTGTTGCCATCATCAGACACTTAGACCGGCAGGTCGGGGTAACTCAATGAAGTTTTAGGAGTTGGCGCAGTGCTACGCAAATGTGTTGGTGCGCCAAGCCAACGCACCGGCGCAGTAACTCCGTTGCGTTGCTGGGAAAATGTTGATGACTTTTTTTACTTGTTTTTAGATTTATTTTCTAAGGGCCATTTATCAATAATATTTTTAACATTTCTTCAAAATTTCAGAAATTTTCAGTTTTAGCAAAGCTACTCTTTTTTCTAAATGCTCAATTTTCTAAAGATTCACTTAAAAATACTTGTTATGAGAATCATATCTTTCCTGGGTTTCAGTCAAAGTGTGAAGTAAAAATTTTGAAACATCGTTTATTTCATTACGTTTTCGCGAGACAACAGCGCCATCATCAGATTTAAAATTTGAAACAAACTCATGATTGGTAAAAATTAACGTCCCTTTAGGTCTTTGCCTTCTTGAAAAGCCTGAGTTTGTCAAAAAGAGACAAACTCAGGCTTTTCAAGAAGGCAAAGACCTAAAGGGATGTTAATTTTTACCAATCAAACTTTCTGCGTTCATACAAACGACGTTCTAATATATAAGGCAACAAGTTCAACAATGGCAGGTTCTGTAGACGCAGAGAAAGTGCCTATTAAACAGAAAGTTGAAGAAACTGCTGAAAAAATAAGCAAATTTTAAAAATATCCCAAAAAGTATTTGGATGGTGGTGACAAATCCAAACTTTCAGCGCTTAAACAGTGAAGATTTGACTATAAAATACAGTAATTGGCCGATGGCCATCATTTTGAAGTGGTTGACTTCCTCCAAAAATTGACTTGATTTCAATTCAGGATCTGATAAAGACCAAAAACCGAAACTCTCGACCATCCCCTTTAAAAATGCAGACACATGAAGGCCTGAACTGGTGATAATAAGCGAAAAACCCCAGTCAATGAAACATATTGAATCCTGAAAATCAAAGTGAGCGAACCCCGAAAGACCCCGATGACGTTTAAGCGATCCAACCGACTCCACAGAGGGCGATTTGATTGGATTTTTCGCATTTTGCCTTAAAACAATTGAGCACAAAGGGCCAACGCAACAAAACCCTCCCAAACTGAATCCATAATTAATCAGCAAAAAGCGATTTTGGCACCTCGGGAAAATTGACAGGGCGATAAGGGTGCACACAGGACCCAACAGCCTGAAATATTCATCTACCCTAAAAATCGACTTTATCCCCTAGAATAAACTGTTTTTAAAGACTCACCGATCACTTGCACCTCCACATCTCTTCGGGCCGAGTTTTTCTGCCGATTTTGAGCCTGGCAAGTGTACGTTCCCGCATCCTCCCTATGCTGGGTTTGTTCAACGAATAATGTGCCATTTGGATACACTCGTTGGCGTCTGGAAAAGAACACAAAATCCCGTATATTTTACGACACAACAAAACATTTTCGCCTCGGCTAAAGAAGTCGCATCAAAATTTTCAAAAAATATGTCATTCTATTTGAATTGCCAAAGTTTTTTCAGCCTGTCAAAGAGGTTGCTTGAGCAGACGCTCTGTTGCCGTGTTGTCGTAATATTTGCCGTCATTTCTGTCAAGCATTTACCCATGTCTCCTATAGATGTGAATGAAAAATTATTGTGTATAATCGATTTTTTTCTATTTTGGAGGGCTCTTGCCACTACAGGGTTATTCACGCTATACGCCACGGACGTTTGCGGCTAGCCCGTTTGTTTCTTGCAAAGTATTATTTGATGAATCCACAGACGCCTATCGGGTGCACACTTTAAAAACATTTTTGTAATGTACAGAGTGTCCCAAAAGCCCTAAAAGTATCTAAGTTGTGTTTTTATAAATGAAATACCCTGTATATTATTGCATTTTTGGATTCTCTGATCAAAATAAGTGTTTGTTTTAATAAGATTTCTAATGTCTAAATCTAAAGGTTTTTTAAATAATTCGAATTTTATCAAAGTCTAATATTATTTTCATGTGTCAAATACTTTAGAATTATTTAAGTTATGTAAACGTAATTCGTAGTGTAATGTAACAAGAAATAATATTTTTTTATCCCAATGATAATAAACTTACAATTTTATACAGGGTGTCCACAAATTTAAACTAATCAAATAAGAAATTTAAGTGGCTATAACTTGATTAATTTAAATACAACCCCATATTTTTGAGCTTACCAGGAAATGCAATTTTTAATTACCTATCGAATGGTACTAGGATGTTTATAACTAAGTTTTTGCCTTTTTACAAAATACACCAAATAATGGTTCTGTGCACCATTTGGTATTTTTTTATTAAAAGGTTAAATAACATATCAACAATAACATAAAACAAAGGCAAATTATTTATAACAAATGTTCGAAATGTTTCCAGGCACTTGTACATTCTTTTTTCAAAACAACTGCTAACTCTGGACAACATTTGCGGAGTTACAGTTTTAAAAGCGTCTCTTATGCGTGTTTTCAAATAGTGTGTAGTTGTCGGAAGCGTATGGTAGACAGTTCCTTTTATGTACCCCACAAAAAGAAATCTAGTGGAGTTAAGTCCGGAGGTCTGGGGGGCCAATTTTCAAACCCATTTCTGCCAATCCATCTGTTTTGAAAGTTGGCATTTAAAAATTGCCGAACTTCGCAGTGATAATGAGGCGGAGCTCCATCCAATTGAAGCCACATGTTG